AAAACCCCCCCAAAAAAAAAAAAAAAAAAAAAAAAAGAGGAAATGTAGAGGAATCCTAGGTCTTATCTCCATTTCTCACTTGCTTTTACTTTTGTGAAATACTTTGAGGTTTTGTGTAACCTAAGAACTGGACAAAAGGACAAAATCAACCTGCAGCATGGAAGATGTGGCTTTCATGTCCCAGGATCCTGCTACAGTCAGGACCTGCTACATCACCGCCCCTGCCTGACGCCACCACGTCTGGCCTCAGGAACAGCCAAGTTTACTCCCATCCAATCAAAACAAGAGAGGGGAAAAAAAACCTTTTCCTTCAAGCAGAACAAAGCGAGGGAGTTTTCAAAAAGTTCATTCTTAAATAATAGGACTTACAAGTACATAGGAATGGATGCATTTGTAGAACGCAGACTTGAGCCTAGACCCAAATGACAGAAGCGATGGCACAGGCCACGAGCTCCCCCACCACTGCCTGCAGTGGGCTGATGTGAAGGCTCCTAGATCTAAATAGTGACCATTTCGACTCCAAACCTGCTTCCCAGTGTGGCCATTGACCGGGCAGAGTGGGCTTCCTTCAAGATTCCTTACGGTGCCCCCAAGGTCCTTCTCGATTCCAGGAGTCCTGGATTGCCTTTGACCCAAGAGGCAGTGTTAGGCAGTAGAACAAACTGACCTGAAATCTACAAGCCTGCCTGCTACTGTTGACCTTACACACATGGCTGCATGCCCTTAGGGAAGTGGTCCTCTCTGGCCTGAAAGGCAAGTGAAGTCAAATGCCTTATAAGACTACTGTGAGGGTTAAATAATACAGATAAAGCACTTGCTGCTCAGTTAACATTAGTTCCTACTCTCTTGTTTAAAAAACTTTTAGTCCCTTTTCTAGAGATTTCTACACCCTAGAGATCCTGCAAAGTCTACTTCTTTCTTATCCGCTTAGCCTGTCTTCTTGCAGGAATCAATCCTGAATCAATCAGTCCTTCCCTCCTTCCCTCCTTCCTTCCTTCCTGCCTTCTTGCCTGCCTGCCTGCCTTCTTTCTATTTGCCAGAGGGTGAGGGCAATAGAAAAAGGCAGAGAGAGGGAGAAAGTGAGAAAGCACTCCCCCACCCCGAGTGTCACATCAGGATCCCTTCTCCTCCATTTCTCTCTCTTTTTGGGATTTTGGGTGCACACGTACACATGCCCAACATGTTTTTCAAGCTGCTGAGTCCAGGACTCAAACCATCTGGTCAGCCTTATGGGATCCAACTCACTTAACCACCAGGCCACAAGCTGGCTCTCAATTCTATCTTTCTAAAAGCAAAGAGAGACTTCTTAGACGTCTTCTTCCCCATTTAAAAATTCCAGGGACCAGCAGTTAGTGTAATGGCTATGTCACTGGACTCCCATATAGTTGCCCGCAGTTCGAATCCCAAACCCAGTGGCTTAAACTCACACCGGGTGCGTGTGCGTGTGTGCCCAATATCCTGAGAAGAGAATGGAGGAGAAGGAATTGTGGCATAGTCATCCCCCCTGGGGGTGATTTCTCGCTTTCTGTCTCTCTGTCTGTCTGGTGAGCGCACGCACCCTATAGCAAAAACCTCTCCAAAAAAAAAAAAAAAGAAAGGGTGAAAGCGGAAAAAAATAACTGAAGGCATCACACAACTGTTCTCAATTTCTTACACTACATGGGAACAATATGAAATACAGTCTCAAATTAATTCAGAGTCACAACTTCAATCAATAGTCCAAACCTTCTTGCCTAGCAAACTTTACCAACCACCAACCAAACTATAAAAGTGAGAGTGAGGAATCCCAATTTCTTTTCTGTTAGTTTTTGTTTTGTTTTGTTTTGTTTCTACTGGTGAGAGAGAGACAGACACAGAGAGGGAGAGATCACTCCCCACGAAGGATGTCCATACTGCACTCCCCTCTCCTCCCTCTTTCCTTCCCTTTGGGATTTTGGGCATTCACACACATGTGCCCAACATGCCTTTCAGGGGACTCTGACCACACCGTCGGCCATGTGGGATCCAGCCACCTTAGCCACTATGCTACTGGCTGGCCCTGAATCTCAATTTCTCTTCTGGGAGAAGAAAGTGGAAAAGGGCAAAAGGTAAAAACAATAAAATAAAATAAAATAAAATAAAATAAAATAAAATAAAACAAAACAAAATAAAATCTGTCTTGAGTAAACACAGAGTTGGAATAACTAGCCATTGGACAAGTGAGAGCTGGTTCAGATGCTCTGAATTACGTTCACTCAGCCTATAAGCAGTATCTGTACATATTTACATAGCGTCTCATAGAACTTTCTAGTAAGGAGACCTGGGTTTAATTGTGGCCTTCCATCCTACCAGACAGAGTAGCTTTAAAATATGCCCACAAATTCTTTGGTGTACTTTTCTTAAAAACAGTACAGTATGGGCCAGTCAGAGGGGATGGTGGTTGAGATGGCTAGATTGCACATGGTCAACTATGCAGTTTGAGTCCTGGCCCCAACAAACTGAAAAACACTCCAGGCATGAGTTCATGTGTGCCCAAAATCCCAATAGCAGAAATGGAGGAGAAGAGATTGCAGCATGACCATTCCCCCTGAAGCATGCTTTATCACTTTCTCTCTATCTCTGTCTGTCTCTGGCAAGAACAAGTGCCCTCTGCAAAAACTGAAAATAAACAGTGTAATTCCCCTCTCCTTGAACATGGATCAGACTTGCTAACTTATTTCTAATGCCTTGACTATGTGGCTACTGAAGCTAGATCACTGAAAGGATAAATCCCCCACCTGGTATATTCTCTCTCTCTCTTTAAGTTTCTTTCTTTCTCCCATGAGCAAGAGAGACAGAGAGAGAGAGAGAGACGGCACCCCCAATAGGGTCCCCAGGCTGCAGTCCACCCTTAGCTTCAGCCAGCCCTGGGTCAGGACACTAGCATGCTTAGTGTGTTCAAGACACAAACCTGAACCCTCCCATGTGGGTCAGCCTTGCAGAGTATTGCATTACCAGAATGCATCACTGTCTGGCCCCCTCTTTCTCTCCTTTGAATGGCCCACTCTGGGGGAAGCAGCTACTGTGTCCTGAGAAAACTCATAGATGGAAGAGCCCACATGAAGAAATGAGGCCTCTCACCAAAAGTCAACACCAAACTTCCCAGCCGTGGTAGTGAATCACCTTGGCAGGGAGATTCTCAATGCCAATCAAGTCTTCAGATGGCCCCAGCTGACAAGTGACACAGCCTCACAGAAGACTCTGGGCCAGAACAGCCCAACTAAGCAGCTCTTAAGGGCCTGACCTACAGTAACTGTCGGAGATACAATTAAATTAGTGTTATTTTAGGCTGCTAAATTTCAGAGTGATTTGTACACATCATTAGATAAACGATTCATCAGGTAAGTCCTTTGACTTCTCCCGTCAGTGAAAGGGAATCATAACCAGCATTATTTAAGGCCATAGTGAGGCTACTTGCTTTTTGCCTTTGCCTGCCTCACAGTTGAGGGTGAAAAAATTGAATTATTGTATCTTGTAATAATGAAGATATACAAAGAAGGTGTCAATCTCCTTAGGCCTCTAATCAATAAGCATTACTATCAGTGAAATGGGGGACATAATTCACAGGTTACCAATAACTTATTCAATATTATACCACACTGGCTCTTATAAGACCTCTGTGTGGTAGGAAAGGCCTGGCCACATGGTCCCGTAGCCATCTCCCCTGCAGGTATAGGCAAGGCTTCAGTACTCAGTACCACACCTGCTTGAACACGACACGGCGCCACCAGAAGACCTGGACTAGGATTCCAGTTCATCATTAACTACCTCACAGATTATGTCCTTTCAGGCCCATACGTCTCTAATCATGGCGCAATCTCTCCACTAGGGGGCAGAAGCAAACAAGGAAACCCCAGGCTCAAAGCTCTTGTTATCTGACCGGTTTACTTCCCTCAAATCTCTCTTCACTGATAAATTTCCTTCCTTGAGAAAAGTCCTTGAAAGAACGTTTCACTGCAGTGTCCCTTTCCATGCTGATATGCAGGGAGGGATAGAACAAATATTGTCCTGTGCCTAGGAGCTTCTTCCTTTATCTGGACTCCCTACTATGGGTTGTGGCTGGAGCCGCCCCATCTTACCACATTGCACAGTGCAGGTTGAAAGAAGAACCAGTCTTGGAACTGCAGGCTCTGAGGAAAAGCCCTGGCTCCTCCACCTCCTCCCACCAGGGTTTCAACCTTGACTGGTCTTGAAAGAGGAAGAGCTACACCCATAGAGGGACTAAGAAGGGAGCAGGAAATCCCTCCCTAACAGAACAGGAAAGGAAAGGCTAAAGCCATAAAAACACACAGACACAATTGCCAAGAAGGTCAAAAGAACATCAAATCTAGATGGGCCTC